CTAGTTTAGATGAAGATTATTGTTTACCATAAAGGTAAATTTGTATAAACTGGAAAACTTAAAACTTATTTAGCTAATGAAAAGTACTACCTACGAACCCCCTCCAACTCTGCACCCCGTTGCCTTTTGTTTTCTCCTTTTAGGAAGAGTTCTGGCCAGAAAGGGGGCCGGGATAACCGTGGGAGTTTGGTGGATTGAAGCGGTTAAGCATTTGCTAACAGTCCAGTGAACCGGTAATCAAAGCAAAATCACCAGAGCACTGAAACAACTTTTTTATGCTAATTTTCACCTCCAGCCGACCGATCCCTCGGGCGGTGTGCGTGTGTGTGAGTGAACGCTACATTAAACATTTAAATACGCTTTTAAGCATCCTGATTCCCGGGCCCAAAAAGGATGTCGAGTGGGTTAAGCGTGAATAGGAGTGGGGTGGGAGTGCGCTGGAAAGTTCGCCAATGGGAATTCCACTCTTGAGCTCTCTTGAGCAATAAGCCAAATTGTAGCTCAGAGATACATTCCATGCAGATGCAACGCTACTTATCCTGATTCCGATTCCGCTTCCCCCTCCACTTGTGCAATCCCACTTCCTCTTGGATCCTGCTCCTGCTCCTGCTCGCCCATTGACCTGAAGCATTCCTCAACTATTAACTTTTGGCGGAGATTGCGACTTTTCGGTGCTTGACTCAAAATGCAAATAGCAACTTGGGCGCATGAAACTCTCAAGTTGGCCCCGCTAAGTTGCCACTTTGCCAACCTACGGATATGGTCCGCACTGTACACTGCCATGTGTCGCATAGGGGGGCCCGGCCCAAGCACTTGTCAAAGTCAACTTCACATTATGTCAAGCAGCGTTATATTCATTTTTTCCGGGCTTTTTCGCGCGTGTGTCTTGCTTCCCGCCGACAACGTCTTCTTTATTTTGTAGAGCATCGCATAAAACCACTTACAGGGTAGCATGGAAGCTTAATAGGCTTTTAGATAGTAAACTGTCTTTTAAAATAGTCAAATTTAAAGAAAGAATTTGATGAACATAAGATATAACATTGTGCTTTTGAAGATTTTTACTCTCATTCCGTATTACTTCTAGGGTACCTTCTGTTCTATTCTTTATCATTTTATTTTTTAAACATTATCATCGCCTGCTGCCTCCCTGGGAGTGCTGCCTGCTGTGAGCTAAGAGACCCATCGGCACTTGGTGCGTGTCTGCAGAGAATCCACCATCCTCAGGCCCATCCCCGAAGTCCTTTAGGCTCCTCTGACATTTACGATATTCCTGGGCATATTTTTTCGGCGCCTCCTGCCTCTCGACGTGACTGTTTTATTTGATGTTAATGTGGATATGTTGATGCCGCCCTGAGTGGAGCTTTTCCGGATGGAGGCAGGCATGTGGTGTGGCATTGGGTGGCTGTTCTTGGGTTTCCTTTGAAAGCCACAGCAGGTTAGCACATTATTCACAAAGCCAGGCCTTTAAAACCGAACCGCACTCTGAGGTTTCGCTTGCTTAATTTGCGGTTGCTCTGATCCAAAAGCCCCAAGGATTCGGCGTCCTTCATTTCTCATCATAAAATGTGTCACACACTCTAACCATTATGAATGCCTGGCGATTTATTTGAATATCCAAATATGCCAAGTGAATGAGAAATGTGCTCAAGTTACTTTCGACGTCTTGTCATTTTAAGCTCTATTTCGCTGCCTTTGCCTGCCTGTGTTGTTTATACAATTTTCCAAGAAAAAATTGATTGTTCTCGGCCATGAATCTTTATTTGAGCAGCGCTGGGGAGTTAGCTTCGGTCCTTTTGGCCGGATTAGGGCGAAATAAATGGCCCGAGAGGAGAATTCAATGTGAGGTGAGAAGAGAAATATAACAATGCTATTGGAATTTTTTGCTGTTCTTTTATTGAGAATGTATTTTGTATCCTTATTGTGGATTTTTGCGGCTTTAATGGACGATTGAAAAATACTTTCCCGGCTTTGTTGAAATGTAATGCCCTTGATTGATTTTTGTATTGCGTGCTGCAATTTCCGAAAAGCACTTCACAGCGTGCACAATGGCGACATTGTTTCAAACGAGAAAAAATATGAAATGCAATTATTTTCCGGTATTATTAATCGAAATTTTTTCATAACGGTTTATGTTTTTGTTTGAGGGATTGTTTAGTTAGAGCGAATTTATTGAAAATGTAATTTACATAATTAAGACAAATTGAATAACATGAAATTTTGTGGCGAAGCAGTCACGCTTTTTATTAAAAGTATTTGTTATATAGCAAAATAATTGGAATTAAATAACAAAAAAATAAAGAGTCTACTTAGAATTTCAGTACAAATATTGGGGTTATATGTAAACTTTAATTTTCTTTTTCCTGGTACTCGTAACAGAGTTTCCCTTTTTGGGGTTTTCCACACCCACAAACGTTATATAATACGATCATAAAAATTGCGTTTATTTGCTCGCTTTTAAATCATTTAAGCTGCATTATATGCAGCCAATGGCAAACATAAAAATGCGGGCCAACGGGGAAAATGGGAAAAGCTGCCGGGCAATGGGCGGGGGGAGGGAGGAGTTTCCGTAAAGCTGGGGAGTTTGGAAAAGCGAAAAGTTCTGCCGCGTTGTTTGCACAAACAGCAATTGCAACGGCAGCACGCTTCACTCATATTTTCGTGTATATTTATTTATTCAGCTCTGCATTTTATTTCATTTCAGTTTATTTTCGCCAGAGCGAGACTTTTCCCTCTCCTTTTTTTTAGTTCTGTAATATATATATATGTGTATGTGTGTGCGCCTTTTACTTCCATTTCCTGAGCGGGTAAAAGCGGAAAACAAAAACGGATACACACACAGGAAGAGTGTAAAAAAATAAAACAGAAGTCGAGCGGGTTGGTGGGTTATAACAATAAAAGGAATCTTTTCATACTCTCCTACTCGTCCTCGTACACTTGCATGCAGCATCCCGAGACCACCTTGCCGCTTTTCACTTTTGCTATTTGTTCTGTCACTTCCGGTGGCAACAAAAAATGGCCGCCCGCATGCCACAGTGCCGACCTCCCCCCCTCCCTCCGTCCTGAGCCCACAGAGTGTCCTTTTCGGTGCGTTTCGCATATTTGGTCCACATTGTTGTGCCTGCTGTCCCGCCGGCTTCATTCTTGTCTCGTCTCTCCTCGTCCTTGCCGTTGTCGTTGCCGTTGCAGGCGTTTATTAAATGTCACACTGCGAATTTTCCATCCCTCTTGGGAGTTTTCCAGATCCCACCCAAAAGCACAATGGCACTTGTCGCGTTTGGAGATTTCACTTTGTTGTCTGGTGGCCGGATATACATTTGTATGTATATCCTTGCAGGGTATTCTAATTTTAGTTAGAAGCTTGTAACGCTGTGATAGAGTCATTTACAATCCTACAAAGCATATATATTCTTGATCAGCATCAAGAACTGAATAGGTCTAGACATGTTTGAAAAAAAGTGAACATAATATATGAATATTTTAAACTTTGATTTGCCGTAAAAATTGTCATATAAATAGATATAAATATAGATTTAAAGAAACTGCAAGGGTATATCAACTTTGGCTTTCCAAAGTTAGTTTCCTTTTTGTTTCGTGTTATCCCTACTTCTTGTTGACTTTAAGTTACACGTTTTTAGTTGTCTTCCACTCAGCCTGGCATCGCCCTTTTCCGGCTCTCTTTCTCATTTTCGCCACTCTTGGGCCCTTTGCCGTGACAATTTCATTTATTTTGCCATTTTCCGTTTTACGTTTGTCAGCGTTTTCCTTCTCATGAAACTCAATTACTTGGGCTTCTGCAAGTGTATCTGTTGGTTTAGCCAATGCGTTGGATTTTCAGCCTTGCAACATTGCGTATACGCAATAATTACTGATTGCGACCTCAGTCGCATTTCTCGCATAATTTCGCAATAATGAAAATTATTATGATGTCTCCCCAGCGAGCCATCCATTAAATGAAATGCAATCACAAATAAATTAAATACATATTTCATTTTAAATTATTACCACTTACCGGGGGATTTTTAATAGCCTTATGGGTTGGGTAAAATGGCATTTAAAATTAAAATGAGGTATTATGATTTTTACAAAATTTTAATTACTATTTACCTCAATTTATGTTAAAAGAATTTGGCATTATTCAAATTATTTAATGAAACAGAAGCAAAAATTATAATTAAAGCGTATTTATTTAGAAATCTTTGAAATTCCAATCAAATATTTCAATTTAGCTTTTATTCATCTAACTCAAATGAATTTTTACGAGTTATTTATACACTTTACTAAAAGGGCATCCAAGCATAGTTTTCCATATGAAAGTCATTTTGAATTTGTAAATTTTTAATTTTATTTCGCTTTAAACTTATTTTCCACTCTCCAAAACTCACTATAAAAAAACAAATGGAAAACTTTATTTATTTTTAATTATTTTACAAGCTCACCGACTAACAGCAGCTGCTGCTTGTGGCATAAATTCAAGTGCAAATACAACACAAACACAAATATAAATACAGGCCCGGCACAAACATAGTAGGAATTAAATTGCATTCAGGAATGAAATGAAATTCACCAATTAAATGCAAAAAATTGTGCTACCAAGAGGAGAAACCAAAAACCAGAGACCAGGACTCTGGTCCAAGTATTCAATTACAACAAAATTTCCAAATAGAATACTGTGTGTGTTGTGGGCGAAGGGGAAGAATATCTTGCAGAAGAGCAATGAAAATGTTGTACTAAATAAAACGTAGCCTCAAGTATTTTGTGGCAAGCTGTTGAAAGTAACGAAAAAAGACGAGCCAGGAAACTTTTTGCCTCCCTGAGAGATGGAAAGCGATTGGGGGCTGCGGCTGCGAAAAGTTTCCTCAGGTGTGCTCGGCCACTTGTGGCACTTCCCCTCCTCCTCCTCCTCATCGATGTTTATCTCTGGTTCAGCGCAACCGAGTATCAATTAGCCAAATGAAATTGCTCTTACCTGTTTCACGTTTCGCTTCTCTCTCATTTTCCAGAGCTCGGCAGAGCCTGTTTACTCACCCACAATGGCCGGTGGACTCTTCTCCATCGACAGGGAGTTCTTCGATCGCCTGGGAACCTACGACTCTGGCTTCGACATTTGGGGTGGCGAGAACCTGGAGCTGTCCTTCAAGACCTGGATGTGTGGCGGCACTTTGGAGATTGTACCCTGCTCCCATGTGGGCCACATATTCCGGAAGCGGTCGCCATATAAGGTAAGTAATCCTTTTTACGTCCATGTATTCCTCTGTTCGGATTCCCAATTTGAAAGCAAAGTCTTTGGGACCATACCTAATCCCCAAAATTACTAAGCTTCATCGATCAATTATGGAAAAGAAACCGTAGGGAAAATGAGAAATCATTGCGGGCAGAGGGTAAAACCAATATTGATCCACTTCTCCAGTGCTCATTAAGAAATGGCAGTTGGCCTGCAATTGGGCAGGCGGAATTTAAAACTCTTAGCCAACATCCCAACATGCCGTGTGCATTCCGTATCGTTTTGTGTGTGTGTGTGTGTGGGCAGCAGCCTCAGGACCAGTTACCAGACCAGGCCAGACCAGGACAGACCACGCCAGAGCAGACCACTCCGCTCCAGAGGTTCGTGTTTGGTCAACAGTGGCCCAATCCTGGCCACGCCCCCAGCTCGTCCTCTTTGCCAAATGGCAGCAACATGGCACACAAGGCACAGACAAGGACACAGAGGCACAGACACAAATACGGACTCCGACATGGACATGCATTGCGGCTGTCTTTGCAACATGTGCTGCTGCGAGTGAGTGTTTGTGGATTCCTCGCACACCGCACACACCACCCACCCACACACACACACACTCGGAGCATAGATCTTTGCATTTTGGGCCAGCTTCAATTATCAACGGTTTACGCTTGACAAAAGTTTGGCAACTGTTTTGATGTCAATGGCGTAACACACACACTCACAAGAGACCGAATGGTCTTGGAGTGGAACTAACCAATTGGGCACCTGCCAAATCCCAGAGGAATATCCTTAACCCAGGATAATCACCAGAATGTGGTAAAGAAATAGGAATAGGGGATAGAGCACTAGAGAATGGAGTGTCTATCCGGCGGTAGTTCGATTAGGATACCTCTATTAACCCTAACAAGCTTAATAAATAGGATATCCTATGAAAGGATACCCTACCGTTTCCAAAAAATTTAGTAATTAGGAAATATCTTCAGTAAAAGCAAGTAATATGTAAAATACTGCACTAAATTTCAAACAATGTCAAGCCATATTTAAACCCAAATTATATTAAGACGTCAATTTAAATCCAATAATTCTGTGCCGCCTCCTTTAAGCTCGTTCATTGAATATTCACACACAAATGCAGTTTAAATATTTCAATTGAAGTCTGACAATGAAATGCAAAATTTGGATTGCAATTCCATAAGACTTTCAGTTGCCTGGCAACAATGTTAAACAATACAACTTAAAGGAAAGTGCAACGGGAATTACCAGCAAAGCCTATCGATTCCGAAGCCCCGTCACGATTTGCGGCTTGAGCCGGCAATTTCAATAAATGTCAGGAGCAAACATTTCCCTCCTCTTTCTTCTTTCCGACCAAGAATTTTCCAACTATCCGGCTGGAATGCAGCTAGGCAGCAAGGCACACGGACACCTGTACAGTGAACTCATAAACACAAAACATGGCACACAACAGAGGGGCAGACAGAGGAGGCAGAAGAGCAAAGATAGATGGGTGCCTGTGGGTGGGAAGGTGACCAATTGTCCTAGAACAACCGCAAAAGGCTGAGGACAGGAGCCAGCTAGCAGGAACCACCTAATGCCACTAAGCAAAAGCTACTCATTCAGGTAATTAGGCTTTGTTGGCCACTCCACTGCACTCTGCCTCCCCTGGCTGGCAGTATTGTTCCTCCGTTGGACTCTGTTTGCTGACCAAATATTTCCATTGACTCCGGCACTCTGGCAGCCACTGGTCCACTGATTGCGCTTTCCCTCCATTTTCCATTTTCACCTCAACCCTCGGACTCATGGAACCCAATCCTCCCTCCAATTGCAGTGGCGTTCGGGCGTAAATGTGCTGAGGAAGAACTCTGTGCGACTGGCCGAAGTTTGGATGGATGAGTACTCGCAGTACTACTATCACCGCATTGGCAACGACAAGGGCGACTGGGGCGATGTCAGTGATCGCAAGGAGTTGCGGTGAGTGCGTTTTTAGGGCAATAATAATAACCATATAAGTTTTGGCTAGAGCAGGGCAATTATTAGCAAAGTTCTGTCACCATTACTTTTAAGGGGGTGTCCAAAAGTAGGAAGCGAATGGTAAAAGTTACGCATTTCCCAGCATGCCTTTGGTCACCTTTTTAAAAGAGTTTAAATCTCTATTTATATTAAACTAACTCTTTTTTATATACTCTCCCCCTTAGGAAAAATCTCAACTGCAAGAGCTTCAAATGGTATCTGGACAACATTTACCCCGAACTCTTTATTCCCGGCGATTCGGTGGCCCATGGAGAGGTAAGTTTTCAGTGTTCTGTTTTCCCTTTCAAACCGACCCCGGATCCCTGGTTACCAAAGAGCTGCATACCTCCCAGTTCTAATAACAAACTGATACTGAAAAGCTAACATAAATTATGAACCCTTGCAATGTGAATCCATTCCACAGATTAGAAACTTAGGTTACGGCGGTCGCACCTGCATGGACGCACCTGCCGGCAAGAAGCACCAGAAGAAGGCAGTGGGCACATATCCCTGCCACAGACAGGGCGGGAATCAGGTTTGTTAAGCCATTCAACTCAGCAGTCCTGCGACCGCCACAAACTCCGTCGAGGCACAAAGCAACCCGCAAGGAGATCAAGAAATATCTCCACTATTTTGTTCCACTTTTTGCTACTACTCCAACTCCCAAACAAAAACACTAAATTCTCTCGGGCTACTGGGTGTTATATATACTCCCCCAAGACTCCCTTAATTGAACTCAGCTTTCCGATGGATCCTCTATATAGTGAACTTAATTTGCAGATCGCCAACCTTAACTCGGGCATGTGCCTGGATGCGAAAGAGAAATCCGACGAGGATGTCCCGGTTACCATTTATAGTTGCCATGGCCAAGGAGGAAATCAGGTATCCACCTCCATGTCCACGTCCTCAGAACTGTTCATGAGAGTAGGAGAAGCATCCGTTTTCCTCTCGGCTTCTCGATCTCGTTGATCCTCTCTCATGCTTTTGGGAACACGTCTTCCTGTCGGTGTTCTGGCTTCGGTTGTTCTCTTTCCTGTTACTAAGTTGATGCTTTTCCGCTATTTGTACAATTACACGAGTATTTTTGGTACATTTTTCGTAAAACCTTTGCTTGCTTTACTTTAGCCTAAACCTATACCTAAACCTAAAACCAAACCCAGACTCACACTGGACATAGTACTCCTTCCATATCATATATAACATCATCATTGATTAACAAATTGTAAGCCAATGGTTTCAAGAATATTGCCTGTTTAAAGGTGAATAGAGTAAATAATTTTTTTTTAAGCTAATAACAGAAATATAACATTTTCACATTCAAATAATCTTACAAAACTTTTTAAATTCATTGATAGTTTTTTCAGGAAGCTGAAGTCAGCTTATAAATAAACAAAGCTTCTCATTGATACAATATATCAATTTAATACGAATCTCTCACCTCTAAGTTTTTGGCACAAAATTTAATCGAATTCAACTGAATTATAACATTTATTAAACTTCTTGGCTTTTAACTTAATTTAAATAAATATTTGCCAAACCTTTTACCAACTCTTTTCTTAACTGCAAACTGAACCTTAATGTTCCTAACTCTTTTCTTTCTGTTCTTTAATTTCTAAATGCACTTTAATGCACAAATCCTTTAACTTTCTTTCACTTTTGTTTTGTTTGTAAAAAAGTTGTAAAGCCGTAAATTGTTTTTGATTTTTGGTGCCTGTGTGGGAAGTCGGCCCCTCTTCTAATAAGGTGTTCCAAGTTAAACCGGATCCCTCGATGCAACAATAAAGTTATTTTGCCGTTGATATTTCAATACCCTTGTGAAAGTCCTGCGGTTTTGAGCACTAATTTTGACGGAGTTTGTGGCTACAATAACAATATTTGTAGAGTACATAAATAATTTGGATTTATTGCCGATTTGCCGGCAAACAATTCATATTCAATTTATTATTTGCCTGCCATAAGTGAAAGTATTTATCAACGAATTTTGCCAGCATTGACATTTTAACAGTTTTACAGGATTGCATACAAGCTCGCAAGCACACACAACACACACAACACATACACACACAATACTATAACACACACCCTGGCGACACAGTGTTGCACATTTGGGACATTCGGTCGATTTATGCCATGTCACAGAAATTAATTAAAACGCAATCATAAATAAAAGGCCGAATGATAAATCATTTACATGGCTTTGGCTTTGGCTCTATACTTTTTTGTGTGTGCTATTACTACAAGAACAAAAAAGAAGGGAATAACAAAACAGCAAACACTCGAAACAATGACACTGGCAAACAGAGCTTTTGTTACTAGTATTTTAAACAAGTCGGTAGGAAACAAACAAAAACATTTGCAAGCAAATGAACTGCTACAATGGAATGCTTTACCTACACTCTGTCTGAGATACTTTTACGCTCTCACAGATACAGATACAGATACAAATACAAATACAGATACAGATACAAATACACCTACAGCTACAGATACGCTGGGAATGTGTGTGAAGAATATTGTATATTCAACATTTAAAATGGAGGCAAAAGTGTTGACCTCGTTCCGTTTGTTCTAAAATCGCCCCAGACAGACATCTGCCACGCCTACTGCCCATGGTTTCCGCCTTCTTCCCTTTGGGCCTAACACTATGCTACAAATAGAAGCTGCATTTAGGGGAGAAAAGTTAAATATAGAATAAAATGTGCAGGAAACGACCAAAGGATACCTGACAGAAAACATTGCCTACTTTTTGGGGCACAAATATCTTAGACAACTAAAATGGTTTGTTTAAATGGAAAAATGTAATCCTTTTAAACAAATTTTTTTCAAAATGTGAAATCAATTAAAACTGTAACTTAAATCATAGTTTTTTCTGAGTGATTTGATGCCTGTATAGCATGTTTTTCAATCTATTTCAATTCCATAGGGAGTTCTGCATCAATGGTTTAAGAAAAAATTAATTGTTTTGTGATATACCCTAGAAAAAACCCATGAATTTTGCTTCCAAATAGATTTAACCAAATGTTTGTTGGCACTCTAAAATGCAACGGCGTATAAAATAATCAACATTTGCAGCGTCACAACATGCAGCTCGCAATTCGCTTTTTTGAGCGCAAATTTTAATTTCGCACATCGCGAAATTTAGCTGGCGAATCGAGAAAAATGGGGAAAAGCGGAAAACTGGGTGAGCTCGGGAATAACGCTTCCGACTGACGCGTCAAAGGATATATCTTCCCCTCGAAAAAAACACCACACTGCCCCAAAAGGGGTTAGTAGTACTGTCCACATAATGAAAGTACTTCTCTCCTCCGCGCGAATAAAAAAACGAACACGTCTCGACTAACAAAAATATTTGTGTGCAGCAAACAAATTTGTTCAGTGGGAGCGAACAAAAATGGAAATAAAGCTACACACATAAAAAATACACTAGATAAAAGGCGGGGAGTTGGAAAATAAAAAAGAAACGAGAGACGTAAAAAACGTAATTAAAAACGCATCTCGCGCGCAGACACATACACAAACAGAAAACGCAATGCTAGCGGGGAAAAAAGGGAGCGGAAGGATAAAAAGAAATGCAAATTGAGAACGCGAAGGACGACAAATGAAACGACAGCGAAGGGGAGGGGGTGTAAGTGGGACGTAAGCCTAAACAATGAGCGAGGATGAACACGACGACATAAACGCTGCGGCGGGAAACGTCCTTGGGCGGGCGGTGACGGTGGAAACTGTGCATTAGTCTGAAATGCAGTAACAGTACGTGACAATAGAGTAAGGCGGGGTCTAAAAGGATACGCAGCAGGAGTAATGATAAAGATTAGAAAGGCGGGATATTTATAGGATTTCAAGCAATAAATAGTCGAAAGAAGCACTAATGCATCTTGAAGCGAAAGCATTCATTTCAGCTCGGGCTTTTTAAGGCGGAAATTTGTATACCAGTACAGTTTAAAATTAAATTTTGAAGTCAGAAACAGTAAACTCGTAAAGAGCGTTATCTATTGACGCATGAAGCTTTGGTCAGTCCCCCTAATTGAACTGGTCAAACAATAACAGTAATTATTCATGGCACACAACTTCCCTTCGATATCCTGCGTTGACCGATCTCATCATTATTCCAGTCCCGGCATCATTATAAACAAAATAAAGAAGGCAACAGAGTGTGGAGAGGGGGGTGTCTATCCGGGACCGTCAGCAACGACAGGAAACGGAAATGGTAACACAAAATGGCGGCTGGTCACGACCCGGTTGCCAAAAGGGGATTGGGCGAAGGGGAGGGCGTGGCAGCAGCAAACAAAGGCCATTTCAGTCACCAGCAGATTCTGTAGCAGCGAGCTCAGGCCATCTGGCATTGGCAACGTGTTTTAAATTATAAATAATCATGGCCAGCCCAGACTCGCACACCCTCAGGATACGGACACACACTCACACACACTCGAACACACAAAGACACAACACACACCCCCACACACACACACACTGTTGAGAGCTGCTTTTCGGCATTTAATTGAATAAAACATTAGTGTGTAATAAAGTTGTGCGGCTGTAGTCCTGGCAAAACTTTTCTTTCGCTGCTGGCAAACTGGCAAACTGGCAAACGCATTCGCTGACATTACAATTTATATTAATCCCTGGTGTCTTCCCTCGATTTCCGTAGTACTGGATGCTGAGCAAGGCGGGTGAAATACGTCGCGACGACTCCTGTCTGGACTATGCCGGCAAGGATGTGACGCTTTACGCGTGTCATGGCGGCAAAGGAAATCAGGTGAGTATAGGGGAAAATATTTTTAAGGAAGAGGGATAACTGGAGGAAGATTTCTACAGATTTAAGTGAAGGATTTTACAATTTAACAAGAAAGAAAGCTAACTTCGGCACGCCGAAGTTTATATACCCTTGCAGATAGAACTTCTATGAATAGGAATCCATACAATGTAATTATATATATTTATGTTAAAAAACAATGAAGTAATAGCTGCTTTCATTTCATTCACCTATACATATTATATTTGCAGTTTTACATACACAGATTTGCATTTTTCCTCTACATCAAACGATCGTTTGTATGGCACCTATAAGATATAGTCGTCCGATTTTCATAAAATTTGACACAAAATTTAAGACTAATATAAAATAGCTATACCTTAAATTTTATGAAAATCAGTTGAAAACTGAAAAAGTTATAAATTTAATTGTATTAATTTCTCGATCGTTCCTATGGGAGCTATATGATATATTAGTCCGATTTTCATAAAATTTTACACAAAATTGTAGAGTATAGTAAAATGGCTATATCTTAAATTTGATCCAATTCTATTAAAAACTGAAAAAGTTAAAAATTTTTTTGTAAAAATTTTACGATCATTCCTATGGCAGCTATATGATATAGTCGTCCGATCCGGCCCGTTCCGACATATATACGAGTGAGAGTATATAGAAGGCTAACTGCAAAGTTTCATTCAGATAGCTTAAAAACTGAGAGACTAGTTTGCGTAGAAACGGACAGACGGACAGACGGACAGAAGGACAGACGGACAGACGGACAGACGGACAGACGGACATGGCTAGATCCACTCGGCTGTTGATCCTGATCAAGAATATATATACTTTATATAGTCGGAGGTGCCTCCTTCACTGCGTTGCAAACTTCTGACTGAAATTATAATACCCTGCAAGGGTATAAAAATAAAGGAAACTACCTTCGTCCTAACTTATGTACGCTTGCAGTTTGTAAACTAATTATAGGATCAAATGGAATATCTATCATAACTAAGGCTAAAATAATTGCATTTAGCGAGATTTTGAGATGAAAATTGTATGGCAAATCATAGCTCATAACTGAGCAAATTTCAATTCGGAAAGCTTTTCAATGCTAGTTTTTGTTGAGTTAACAAATCTGCATACTCAGTTGAAATTTTTAGAGAAATGAAATTTTTGCGTATTTTTGATAATTTTTACGATGTAATCCCTTATAAAATTTTGAAATTATGAAAAGAATTTAAAAATTTATTTTCTACCAAACATAGCCAGATCGACTCGGTTTTTGATACTGATCAAGGATATATATGATTTTTTATTTATATATGAGCTTTTGACTATAATTAACATACCCGCAAGGGTATAGAAACATATTTAATAAATAGAAAGAATATATATTTATTTTAGAAGTTCAAATGATTAAATCAAATAGAAATACATCTAATCGAATCTACTTTTCACTTACAGTTCTGGTCTTATCGCGAGAACACGAAGCAGCTGCACCACGGCACCTCCGGCAAGTGCCTGGCCATCTCGGACTCCAAGGACCGACTGGTGATGGAGGAGTGCAACAATAGCCTCAGCCGCCAGCAGTGGTCACTCGAGAACTACGACAGCTCCAAGTTGTGAGGCTACTTCTATGCGAGGGGTAACCTCATGTTGCCCACTTCGCGGCGACACCAGCCACCACATGCATAGCAGCAGCAGCAGAAGCAGAAGCAGCAACAGGATCGGGGGAGCAGCAGGAGCAAGGAGCCAGTCATGGAGTGGAGGCAGGAGTTGGAGTAGTTGGAGGATCCGCGAGGCATGTGCAATAGACGGGGAATGAGAGAAACAGAGGGTAGCAGCAGCATCACTTGCCATGCTATATAAATATAAACTAAACTTTATACATGTTTCCAAACAACAGAATAGACGTTACTTAGCCCTAAGCACCAAACCACACCCGCAGACTAGACAAACAGACACTGAAAGAACGACTGCTGTACAGTATCTATAAGATGATTAGTTCTCTAGCATCTAGACCTAAGTCGAGGCACATAGGATTAGTTTTAAGGAGCTGAGCCGGGCCAAGGCCGAAACAAAAACGAACGAAGGCGAAAAGTCGTAGCGCAATTTTTGCATTTAAATTTGTAAACATTTAGCACAATTTACGGAATGTGTGTGTGGTGTGTGTTTTGTTTGTTTATTTAACTTACTCTCCAGGCTCCGAAATATTTATGAATTTTATAAAAAAAAAAACAAAAAGAGAAATCAAAAAATAAGAAAAACAAATGTCATCAAATGGCTTTGCAAGAGCCTCATTCCAAATATATGTTTTAGTGAGTAAGCCGTAGGCTAAGTCCGAGTTGGAAAGCATTTGGTGATAGCCTTTGTTCGTTTCACCTCCCTCCCCCCTAGCATTTCCCTTCAAATTTTGATTTTATTTATTTTCCTACCTTACGATCTAGGGAGGTTTTGTGTTGCTTAATTTTTAGACGAGCGAGCGAGTTGGGAGCGTTGAAAACCTTATGCCAAATTACGTTTAGATGTTTAGATTTTCTGTTCCCCTTTTAATTTCTTTGAAAATCCGTTGCATTTCTTTCCGTTGGATTCTCAAAGAATGGTAAAACGACGACATATCCTAAGCCAGCTTGTAGTACTTACAAATATTATATCAGTTTCCCAACTACCGATATCACAGAAGATACATATAGCGTTAGTCCTTAGCGTATTAGTCCTTGATGCAAATGTGCATAGTGCCTTCTATTTATAACGGACGCATTCTGACACACACACTTTACTATAAACCATATGATGTTTTTTCTTAAATCGTTCATCGAACTCTTGTAGGTTTTAGGCTAGGTCACAATCACAGCGACTGTGTATATACCGTACTGTACAATTCCATATCGCATCCCGCTGAATATGTGTGTACATAACTATCGACTAAATACTGTTTATCCAAGACTAAAGCGTACATATAATATATATAAATATCACGATGCTGGCGCGACAGCTTGTTCTTCATTTGCTAAGTTCTATTCCAGCCAGCGAGCTTCACTGTAGGCGGCATTTACAACTTACGTACGAAACCAAAAGCCATACACGAAGTGGTCGATAATCTTTTTTTAAAAAGCAAAAACTACAACTTACCATAGTTTAACTCTAAGCGCGTAGTAAATGTGTAGCCAGGACGCAAGAATTGTGCAAAGGAATCACAGATACAGTTATGAATAAAAATATGTGAATTGAAAATAAGTTAATGGTTGTTTTCTTTAATTAGGGATTGGTTAAGATGATCTCCAGTATTTCAGAATAAATATATACATTTTCATTTTCATAATTTCATATACAAAAGGCAGTTTTGCAAAATGCTCCATTTTTGGAAGATATTAACCTATCTCCATACCGTGTTCAAAAAGACATTTTCTGCGATATCATGCCTCTTATTTGATATGTCAATTAAAGTAATCTTTCTAAAAACAAATCGCTATTAAATTGTTTTGATTTATATTTTATATAAGTATTTAACAAACCCATTATTTTTGTATTTCAAGCTAGCATTCCTTGATTGTGCCATCTATCGGACAGCGGCTGCACTAAGGGCGACATCTAGCTTTCCTTTTTAATATCTACATGTAAAAGAAGTGTAAATTTAAGGACTATTCCCATTAAAAGTTGTTTAATTATTTGTAGTACTTAATTAAGAAGTAAGTATGCCAGAAAATTAATCCATTTTTGGCTTAGTTATGCGAATTTTAAACTACGATTTGTAGAAAAAATTGTGATGAAAACAGATATAAATATATATATAAATAATAATTAAAATTGGCCAAAAATTTCATATTTTTACTTTTAAAACCGAGTATGCAGTTTTGTTAAACTATTAAAAACAAACATAGAAAAGCTATCCGAATGAAAATTAAGGCATTTTTGGTATAGTTATGCGAATTTTAAATTATGATTTGTAGAAAAAATTGTGATGAAAACAGATATAAATATGGTCTCAAAGAATGGTATTAAATTTTCAGTCATTTTTGGTTTTTCTAATTTTAAATTGAGTATGCAGATTTGTTAACCCAATAACAAAGAATACAATACAGCTCCCCGATTGAAAATTAATGCATTTTTGGCTTAGTTATGCGAATTTTAAACTATGATTTGTAGAAAAAAATGGTGATGAAAACAGATATAAATATGGTCTCAAAGAATGGTATTAAATTTTCAGTCATTTTTGGTTTTTAAATTTTAAATTGAGTATGCAGATTTGTTAACCCAATAACAAAGAATACAATACAGCTCCCCGATTGAAAATTAATGCATTTTTGGCTTAGTTATGCGAATTTTAAACTATGATTTGTAATAAAAATTGTCATAAAAATTGATATAAATATTGGCTGCAGAATGGTATTATACTTTCAGTCAGAAGCCAGTAATGCAGTGAAGGAGTCATTTCCGACCCCATAAATCATATATATTCTTGATCAGCATCGATAGCCAAGTCGATCTAGCTAATTATTAAAGGAAAAAAATTTTAGATTTTTTCCATTTTTTGAAAAAATGATAAGGGGTTACATCATTAAAATTGTCAAAAATTGGCCAAAAATGTCATATTTTTACTTTTAAAACCGAGTATGCAGTTTTGTTAACCTATTAAAAACTGACATAGAAAAGCTTTCCGAATTGAATTTAATGCATTTTTGGCTTAGTTATGAGATTTTTAAACTTTGATTTGTAGGAAAAATTTGTCATATAACAATATACATAGAAAAATATTGGCTGAACAATGGTATTAAACTTGCAGTAACTTTAGGTATCGAAAATTAAAAATTGAGTATGCAGATTTAATAATATAGTAACAAAGAATACAATAAAGCTTTCCGAATGAAAATTAAGGCATTTTTGGATTAGTTATGCGAATTTTAAACTATGATTTGTAGAAAAAAATGGTGATGAAAACAGATATAAATATGGTCTCAAAGAATGGTATTAAATTTTCAGTCATTTTTGGTTTTTTAAATTTTAAATTGAGTATGCAGATTTGTTAACCCAATAACAAAGAATACAATACAGCTCCCCGATTGAAAATTAATGCATTTTTGGCTTAGTTATGCGAATTTTAAACTATGATTTGTAATAAAAATTGTCATAAAAATTGATATAAATATTGGCTGCAGAATGGTATTATACTTTCAGTCAGAAGCCAGTAATGCAGTGAAGGAGTCATTTCCGACCCCATAAATCGTATATATTCTTGATCAGCATCGATAGCCAAGTCGATCTAGCTAATTATTAAAGGAAAAAAAAATTTTAGATTTTTTCCATTTTTTGAAAAAATGATAAGGGGTTACATCATTAAAATTGTCAAAAATTGGCCAAAAATTTCATATTTTTACTTTTAAAACCGAGTATGCAGTTTTGTTAACCTATTAAAAACTAACATAGAAAAGCTTTCCGAATTGAATTTAATGCATTTTTGGCTTAGTTATGAGATTTTTAAACTTTGATTTGTAGGAAAAATTTGTCATATAAAAATATACATAGAAAATATTGGCTGAACAATGGTATTAAACTTGCAGTAACTTTAAGTATCGAAAATTAAAAATTGAGTATGCAGATTTAATAATATAGTAACAAAGAATACAATAAAGCTTTCCGAATGAAAATTAAGGCATTTTTGGATTAGTTATGCGAATTTTAAACTATGATTTGTAGAAAAAATGGTGATGAAAACAGATATAAATATGGTCTCAAAGAATGGTATTAAATTTTCAGTCATTTTTGGTTTTTCTAATTTTAAATTGCGTATGCAGATTTATTAACCCACTAACAAAGAATACAATACAGCTCCCCGATTGAAAATTAATGCATTTTTGGCTTAGTTATGCGAATTTTAACTATGATTTGTAATAAAAATGGTCATAAAAATTGATATAAATATTGGCTGCAGAATGGTATTATACTTTCAGTCAGAAGCCAGTAATGCAGTGAAGGAGTCATTTCCGACCCCATAAATCATATATATTCTTGATCAGCATCGATAGCCAAGTCGATCTAGCTAATTATTAAAAGAAAAAAATTTTTAGATTTTTTCCATTTTTTGAAAAAATGATAAGGGGTTACATCATTAAAATTGTCAAAAATTGGCCAAAAATGTCATATTTTTACTTTTAAAACCGAGTATGCAGTTTGTTAACCTATTAAAAACTAACATAGAAAAGCTTTCCGAATTGAATTTAATGCATTTTGGCTTAGTTATGAGATTTTTAAACTTTGATTTGTAGGAAAAATTTGTCATATAAAAATATACATAGAAAAATATTGGCTGAACAATGGTATTAAACTTGCAGTAACTTTAGGTATCGAAAATTAAAAATTGAGTATGCAGATTTAAAAATACAATAACAAAGAATACAATAAAGCTTTCCGAATGAAAATTAAGGCATTTTTGGATTAGTTATGCGAATTTTAAACTATGATTTGTAGAAAAAAATGGTGATGAAAACAGATATAAATATGGTCTCAAAGAATGGTATTAAATTTTCAGTCATTTTTGGTTTTTTAAATTTTAAATTGAGTATGCAGATTTGTTAACCCAATAACAAAGAATACAATACAGCTCCCCGATTGAAAATTAATGCATTTTTGGCTTAGTTATGCGAATTTTAAACTATGATTTGTAATAAAAATTGTCATAAAAATTGATATAAATATTGGCTGCAGAATGGTATTATACTTTCAGTCAGAAGCCAGTAATGCAGTGAAGGAGTCATTTCCGACCCCATAAATCGTATATATTCTTGATCAGCATCGATAGCCAAGTCGATCTAGCTAATTATTAAAGGAAAAAAAATTTTAGATTTTTTCCATTTTTTGAAAAAATGATAAGGGGTTACATCATTAAAATTGTCAAAAATTGGCCAAAAATTTCATATTTTTACTTTTAAAA